TGAGCAGTGCCTCCTCCCTGCCTGAGGTCCTTTCACAGAGCCCAGCTGTATCTCTTTAACTCCAGTTAAACTTTTACCACAGTTTTTGTGGGTTAGATGTGGTAAGCAGGTAGACCCCTGAGCAAGTCTCCCCGTTTGAGGCACTTCCTAGGGCCTCTCTATGTTGAATGTGCCCATGTAAGATTGTTAAAATTTCTGCATTTTATTCTAGGGTTGGGCCTGTGATTTGGTTCTGCTGCCGCCCTCCCCACCCTCAGCAGCTTGGGGTCCACTCACCCAGCTGTGTTGTCTCAGTTTATATCCAGTTCTTTGTCAGAGCTGCTGGGGCAAAGGTCAGCAACAGGTATCCTGGGGTCTCTGGTTCTGAGCTGCAGCCTTTTCCCACGATTTGTTTCCTCTCCCTAGCTGAATTGTCTCAGTTTATCTCCAGGGTTTTAGCAGGGCTGGGACAAAAGGCTGCTGAGCAGCTGCAGCTGCTGCCTCAGGCAGTTTCCCTGTGCAGTGCTTCCTGGCATCTGGGTGCCTAACTTTTTAAGGGAGCCTAACCAGTAGGAAGCCACTGGTGTTCCCAGATCAGAGTTTCAGTGTTCAGCTAATCCTGCCTGTGAGGCTTCCCTTATGGGAACTCCCCAATCACCGGTTCTCCATTGGTTATTTTCCTTCTAGTGAGACTGGGGTATTCTCATTTGTGTTGAAACTCATAGCATGAAGGTCTATAGTCCGTTTTTATACAATCCCGTGCGAGTTTGGATGTAGTTGTCTTGGCGTCTTTATTCTGCCGCCATCTTGTCAGTTCCTGAGCTGGTGGAGCTGATCAGCCTCCAGGGTTTAGCGTGGGGCAAAGTGGCTCCTGCAGCCCGCGGAACTTCCTGGTGCCTGGGTTTTACTGGGAGTTCCCAGAAGCGAACTCCCTCATCGCCCATTCCCCCTCAATTATCTACCTTCTAGTGAGTCCAGGGTATTTTCGTTTGGGTTGAAACTTGCAGTAAGTCAGTCTATACTCTGTTTTCAGTCCTCAGTTCCTATGCAAGCCTGGACACAGTGATCTCGGAGTCTTTACTCTGCTGCCATCTTTTGGAAATCCATAAATACCTTTTAATAGAATCCAGGTTAGACATAACTTTCTAGTTGAAAGTGCTATTATTGGAGTTATTTATCCTAGCTCCATTGCATTCCTTCAGGGTGGTACGATAGAGCAGGTAGAGTGGTTCTTATTTGGTTGGAAGAAAAATTAAATGTCATGATGTCCATGGCTCACCTTCAAGTATGCAGGGATCAGTGTATACAAAACCCCCATGGGGGTCTACTTTATTCAAATGGAGAAGTGGTGACCAGGTCTAGAGCTTGCTCCTCATGCCATTTGTCTTCATTTCTACTCTTGGGTCTGAATATGCTGTTAGGCCACCTCTGCACACATACAAGAAGTGCCTTATTCTACAGAGATCAAGTTCCCTGACAAGGTCCACCAGAGTTTACCCTGTGCCACCGTTGAGAAGGCCCAGCCTTTGGAGGGGCTGTCTCTCCCTTGCTATGCTGTGTGCTAGGTAGTCTCCTTGGTGTGCCTGCTCCTCTTTTTCCTGCCAGAGGCCTGAGCAACATGCCTGCATGGTGTACGGTCACAGTTCCTTGGCATCTGACACTGAAAGCCCTTCTTAACTGTGCTTAGTGTGAGAAACTTGGGCTCAGTGTGCATGTGCAAGTAAGTGTGCTGTGCAAATCCTTGTCATTCCACAGGTGTGCACACACAGACACTGAACACTTTCTCTTGCTCACTCACTCATTCTTGCACACCCTATTCCTATAAGTTAGCCTCCCCTTTATTCTTACTTCTCTCTACCCAATCATCTCACTTCTCCTGGTAAATGTTTACTCACATTGGGGCAACTGTTTTCTGGGCTTCTTTGGAACATACCACTGTGGGTGAGGCTCTCCTTTTGTCTTCTGTCTCCCCAAGAAGCAGATCATTGAACCCATAAAAGATGAAAGAATCTCAGTGTTCATTGAGGGTTAGATTATGTGTCTGTTATAGACTGCTAATTGCTCCAGTTGAATCTCAATGAGTTAAAAATCTTTTTCCCATTTCTTTTGAATTAAGAATGCTTTGTATTAAGCAGAAAGTAGTTTTCTGATGCTTTTAGAGATGATTTTAAAATGTAAATAATGAGACTTCTACTTTTTACATAATCACCTTGTCTTCCCTTTTTATCCTGACCTAGATTTTAGACAGAATTCTTTTGTGATTCGGCACTAATGCAAGTTTCTAGTTTTGACTCTGTTCGTTATTACATATTCAACTACGTGAAGTCTCTCATTTCATCTCATTGGTGATCAGTCTTTTGATCTATTTATCAAATATCTTGGAGGGTTCCCTTTTTCTATATTCTATGATCATGGCAACCTGGAAATCAGCACTTACCTTAAGGTGGCTCCCTGGCAGAGGGTACTTGCTTAACAAGCTGGCAGGTTTGCAAGATTTAGCATCTAGAAATGCCACAAAGTTGCCATCTAGAGCATTTTGAAACAAGCAATAGACATATTCTTGTAAACCTTTCTAAGGGAAAACCACTTTCCCATCCATAAACTCACTCACTGAAGAAGCAAAGATACCTTCCCAAGGACATTTTCCAAGAAACAGAAGTTAAAAACTCTTTACGGCAGGAGTGACTCAGCTCACCAGTTCCGTGGGTGGCACAGGTGGGCTGCTTATATAGAACATGAGATGTGAGCAACAGTGCCTTTGGATAGAGGGTAGTGCGCGGGAACAGTATGAACACACTAAGTGGAACACCATGACTGGTACTGCCCACCTGGTCTCCTGTGCTCTTGGAACAATTTTTTTATCCTTTACCATGGCTAGCAAGCTCCTGCCTCATTCACTACATGCCAATTCAGTGGCCCATGTCTGTTTACCAGACACAAAAGCTGGCTCCACCTTAGGGCCTTTGTCCTCATCAGCCACCTACTTCCATAGCTCCTTCTCCTTTGATCAATTCCTTCATTTCAATTTGAACAATTCCTTCATTTCAATTTGAACCACTTCCATTTGGCTCAAAGGTCACTTCTCAGGGCACTGACCCTCTTAAGGTGGCCCCCTTTCTCCATCTGTTATTTCATTTCCTTTAGCAGCACATCAGTCACCATACTTATGAGCTCCTCTACTGTTTTTTTTTCCTCCTGTGAATGTAAGCTTCATGTGAGCTTATCTATTTACTGCCACATGCTTCATCTATTGGTTGAATAAAGCTGATCAATAGTCATATTATCTTTTGGGATATCTTTTAAAGATCAAGACTAGTAGGAAGTGTTAATGTTATTTAAAAGCAAAGTTGAGATCACTGTGGGTTATGTAGCAGAAAGAGCACCAAGGCCACCTGGGCGCTCTGTGGGCGGAGTGGTTGCCATGGCAGCCAGCATCCTCTGAGAGAGTAGGTCTCCAGCTTTGCGCACACATCATCAGAGGGTCCTTTTCTATAATTATGCTGAAATCATTGGTGATGATTTTTCGTGAGTTAGAAGGACTTCTGTGGGTCTTGTGAAATGCTAAGTTCCATGTTGTTAAAAATTATCTTAACTAGGTCTACTCTCCTTTTTACCTCTTAGTAGGAAAGCAAACACCCATTTTCACAATTATTTCTAGATACATAATTCTATCATTTAAGCTAGGAATGTTCTCGAAGTTTACATTTCCTCTCCCTCCCCCTCCCATTCCCCAGCCCAAGCACTTTTGATTTGAAGAATTATTTGCTTTGCTCTTTTTCTGATGTCTTTCATGAGTTTTCCATTATGAATAAATTAATCACGCCACCTAACAGAACCTGTTATTTTGATGCTGTTTGGCAGTGTGTTCTGATAGCCTTTCTTCTTTGCAGGAATACATTGCTAAGAATTTCTGTGTCATGCAGTCCCAGATCGGCTATGATATTTTGGCAGAAGACACCATCACAGCTTTGTTGCACAACAACAGGAAACTACTAGAGAAACATATCACAGCAAAAGAAATAGACACATTTGTCAGTTTACTCAGGAGAAATCGCGAGCCAAGGTTTGAAGTGGTTCATGCAGTGTTCTTTGCTTGTGCAGATTATGACTTCTGGCTTTATTTTTAGGACTTTTTAATGTTAGGTTTCTTTCATATCCCTGACCTTCATGGAGAAGACTGTGTTGGGTTTCTTGCTGTTATAATTATGTATAGTAAAGGGTTATTATCTATTATAAGACCGAAACCCTATATAAGCTTATATGGTAATTGATTCACTCTGATAGCTTATGTTTGTAGAGTACTTTATAGTTTTTCAAAAAATATTCAGATGCATAGTCCCATTTGAGTCCTTGTACATTGAAGTACACTGGACATTATATTATATCCATGCTTTAGAATTGAGAACAAATACTAAAGTCTGGAGAACAGCTTACCCCAGAATACCCCAAGAGTGAAGAATAGAATGGAAGGTAAATCCAGGGTCTCTGACATCACATCAAGTTATTTTTCTATTGGACTTTGCTCCCTTATAGATACAGGACAAGTTAGTAGATTGGTAAAGTTTTCCTAATTAGTGCAGAAAATAAATTTCAGAAGATACAATTGTGGTCTTTTATTTTTACCAGGCCATGGTAAAAACACTTTGATTAAGTATGTGTTATATTCCTATTTTGTTTTGCTACTCTGTTCTGGGATAGTTTCTCTTTAAGGCATATAAATGATTTTCTAACCACAATAAATCACAGTGTTGTAGGACAACTATCATGAAAAAGTAGCAGAAAATTTAGGCTTCTTTGAAACCAAGTTTATATTAAAGGCAAAGAATTGAATGTTCAATTTGTTCATAATGAAGCAATAAAAAGAGCAACATATTAGAAAATTGTGACATGGAAATCATACCAAAGATATAACTGAAAATGTTACATTTCTCTCATCTCAGAGTATATTTTTATTGTGATTTTTTACAATGTTTTTCTGTTTATGTTCAATATAATTTATTTTCCAGATTTTTGGACTACTTATCTGATCTGTGTGTGTCGAATACTACCGCTATCCCTGTGACTCAAGAACTCATCTGTAAATTTATGTTGAGCCCAGGGAATGCAGACATTCTCATTCAGACTAAGTAAGAGCAGATAATAGAGACATCTTTGTCTGTTCATTATTGATAAGCATGGAAGTTCTTTATTAAATTTGTCAGTGAGCTTCATTATGGATTTTGTGTGTATTATTTATTTCAAGGCTAGTCTCAATGCAAGTCGATAACCCCATGGAGAGTGCCATCCTTGCGGACGACATTGATGATGAAGAAGTCTGGCTGTACTGGATCGACAGCAACAAGGAACCGCATGGCAAAGCTATTAGGCACCTGGCTCAAGAAGCCAAAGAGGGCACCAAAGCTGATTTGGAAGTTCTTACCTATTACAGGTAAAGTATGATAGAGAATCCTAATTTTCATCTCACCTATGCATTCTGAGATAATTCTCTGAAGCCTTTTGAAGTCTGGTGTCTGTGAAAAGGAAATTTAGAAAGTGGTATCAGAGCTAGCATAGCTGAAATGTTTAGTATTGTTTCCATAATGTTTAGTATTTGTTACATAGCATTGGTATACATAAAGTATACATTAACATCTGTATTTCTCATATATACCACTTGCTACTTTTCTGATTTTTCACTAATTTAGAATTGTGCAGCAGAAGGCTTTTTCCTGTTATTGAATGCAGTGGGTGTGGATAAATAACATATTGGAACCTAGGTAATGGGCTTGAGAGAACGATGGAAGAGAGGCTGGACAAGTTGATCCGGGTTCAGCTGGCCCCAGAGAAAGTAACCCACATTTATATTATAGAACGGTCATGAATACGTGGGAAGCTAGTGCTCAGGAGAAACTGGTATTACAGTTAGGAACACTCAGTAGAGGCATGCGGCAGCAGAGGGTCTCATGGTTCCCAGTGGTCAGCATCCATGGAACAAGAACCTAGCTTGAACCTAGCAAGAACCTAGCAAGAACCTAGCTAGGTGGTGGTGTTGAGGGGATAGAAACCCAAGGCCGAGGAAATCTAGTCAGTTGGATACAGATGATAGGAGTCTCAGAGAAAGCCTTGTGTTCCCTGGTTCCTGTAGCTGTAGCTACAGAGCTAAAGGTCAATTCTTGACTCCAGAGGCAGATGAGTGTAAGGGTGCTGATGTGGTGTGGACTCATATTTGGTGTGGAAACTAAGTGTGTCCAACTTAATAGTGTAGATATTTGGTCCTAGAGCTAGTGTGTTTTGGGGGAGGTGGAGAGAGATGGTTTCATGTGAGCCTTTTCCATAGCCTTCAGGTTTAGCACATGTGTAATTCCAGGATTCTGAGACTTGAGAGTCTAGGACACCCCCAGGCACGATGCAGCAACCAGTAAAAGAATTGTAGCCGAATGGTCCCAGAGAACAATTCGTATATGGATGGTCATTTGTTTGCTTAACTTGCTACTAAAATAATTTGATTCCATCTTCACATAAACTTGGATATTTTAGTATCATTGAAGTAGATCCTGACTGATACTGTGATGTTTTGAGAACTCTATGAAGAGCAGACATATAATGTGGTATTTACTATTTTTAAGGTACCAGCTGAACCTCTTTGCACGAATGTGCTTGGATCGCCAGTATCTGGCCATAAACCAGATCTCCACGCAGCTGTCTGTGGATCTGATCCTGCGGTGTGTGTCCGACGAGAGCTTGCCCTTTGACCTCCGGGCATCTTTCTGCCGCCTCATGCTCCACATGCATGTTGACCGGGACCCGCAGGAGTCTGTGGTGCCCGTGCGCTATGCCAGACTCTGGACAGAAATTCCTACAAAGATCACAATTCATGAGTACGTTTGCAACAGTGTCATGAGGACTTTAAATTAAGTAGATGAACAAAAAACCAAGTGTCTTCCATTCTGAAATCAAATACATGGAAAGGCATCTCTGCATTAAAACTTTGATCATTAATCTTAAAACACAAATTAGATACTGTTTTGGAAGAGTAAAACAACATCTCTGTTTTACTCTGTTGGAAGAGTACAACAACATTTCCAGAAGCATCTTTCTGGAAACCAGTAAATATCATATTCATAATAAGAGTCATGATTTTAGTGGCTAATACTGTGGTCAACACAGACACCAGTGCTTTACCTGAGTTAACTCATTTCATAATGGTCCCATTTTTCAGATAAGGACATAATGTCTAGAAAAGTCAATCAACTAACTCAAGCCAGGAGTTTACTGACTGTGTTTTCTTATTTTAAGGTTTACTGTATGTGTTTTCTTATTTTAATGTGCTTTATATATTCTGTCTTTTCAGATATGATTCTATAACAGACTCTTCCAGAAATGATATGAAGCGGAAGTTTGCATTGACAATGGAATTTGTTGAAGAATATTTGAAAGAAGTTGTAAATCAGCCTTTTCCTTTTGGGGATAAGGAAAAAAACAAACTGACATTTGAGGTAGTTTTTAAAAAAAAACTTCATAGGGTTATTCATTTTCTCTGTCCGAAGCTAGTTCCATGAAGCATTAGTGATTTTTCCACTAACACTGAGGATGTTTTAATAATTGGGTGACCTTCTCTTGGCCATTGATTAAAAGATAGATTTGATTCTTTAAATATATTTATCCAATGTAAAATATTTTATTTATAATTACTTGTTAGCATGGTTTCTTTGATCTTTTTATTTGTGTTAACTTTATTGCATTTACTGGACAAATAACAGTTTTGCATACTTTGTAGTATATTTGAATACTTTTTTTGTCATTTCTCTGAAGATGATATTTTTAGCCTTATTAGACTGAATTTAAATATCTCCAGTTAGCATTATGAGGACATAGTGACAAAACTAGAGGAGCCAGTATGTAGCTTCCTGCTGCTATATAATATTTACCCCCAAAAGTAGCAACCTAAAGCAACAGATGTAGTGTCTCACACCTTCCAGGGGTCAGGACTCTGGAAGTGCTTAGTTAGACCGCGCTGGTTCACTGTTTCCAGGAGTTTGTAATTAAGTTGCTGATTTGGGTTGTGGCTCTCTGGGGGTGGATAGTGCTTCAGACTCACTACCCTTGTGGTTGTGGGTGGCCACATTTCCTTGCTGGCTGTTGACCAAACACCTCCCCTTCTTGTCATGTGGACCTTCTATAGGCTAGACTGGGTGAATCTCCTTAGAACATAGCACCTAGCTCCCCCTAGAGCAAGCCACCAGAATGAGAGAAAGGAGGAGAGAGGAGAGAGTGGAGAGGGGAGGAGGGAGGGAGGAAAAGTAGGAGGGAGGGAGGGGGAGAGCAAACAAGTGTGAGCACACCAGCCAAAGGTGGCAGCTGCCAGCTGTGGTCTTTTGGACTTCATCTTGAAGTGACTTGCCCTCACTTCTGTTCATCACTCAGAGCATGTCTTATGCAATGTGGAAGGAGAACATAAAACATAATTTAGGGCCATCTTGGAAACTGGCTTTCCCACTGGAACTGTTCCATCATATCCAGGAAACCACAGAGCAGCCCAGAGAACATATATTTCTGAAAAAATTTCATAACTGTATCTTTAATAAAGTAATTCATTGATAAAACCATTTATCACGTGGTATCCTTCTGACTTCAGTGAGTTAGTACTTAATCAGGAAGTAAATCATTCTAATGTAAACTTCTTTAAATACCCTGATCAGAGTGCTAGTGATTGTTTTTGCAGGTTTTTTAAATCCCTAGATATTCAAAGATTATAGAGTTTAGGAATAACATAACTAATTTAGATAATAAGAAGTGTTTATTCCTGTTCCTAATGTTTTTTTTTATTCTGTCCCACCCATTTCCCTTTTTCAAGGTGGTGCACTTGGCTCGAAATCTTATCTACTTTGGATTTTATAGTTTCAGTGAACTCTTAAGACTAACAAGGACACTTCTGGCTATCCTAGATATTGTACAGACCCCCATGTCATCGTATTTGGAAAGATTAAGCAAATTTCAAGACGGAGGTAAGACTTTTGGAGAAAGTTACAGCTTGTTTGGTATTATATGGAGATGAGATAAACCGAACCTCCAGAGAAGCAGTTGTTAGCATACTTGCTCCTGGGTGTCACAAATGGACAGCAGTCCACGCTGTGGTGGAGTGATGACAGGCTGGGTGCACAAACACACGCCCCTGTTTTTAACACTAAAGTTTAGAAAGGCGATTTTCTAGATCAAGTTCATCTTCAGAAGTAACATCAGAACCAGTCCATTAGTGAAAATTTAATGTGTTGATAAAAGAAATTCTTTGGATATTTATGATTGCTCTCTAGATGTCATTGCCTCATAGTCGGGCAGAGAAAAATGCAGAAAAATGCAGAATGGGCACATGCAGGCTCAGCACATGAGAAGTAGTGAATGCAAACCCGATGGGCAGCAGCAAAATGAGGTGGGATAAAGAATGGGCTTTTGGGTCTGAGTGCCTTTGGCAAATCCTGCCCTTAATCTTTGTGGTTAGTCTTGGTGTTTATCTTCACTTTAAGTTTCTTTTCTCATCTGAGATATGAAGATGATAATATTGTTCTGTTCATTTTCCTTATAAGAATTAAGTGACTATAAACAAAACATTCAAAATGCTTAAAATAATATGTCTTATAACAAAATAAAACAATTCTGATGTTCTGAAAATATTATGTGATTGCTTGCAGCAGGTGTGTTGAGAATGCATTTAGGATTTGCATCTGTAAGGAAATGAGAAGGGTAGGAGTGAGCAGAGGGAGAAGCTGATCCATCCTGCAGTTAAAGCAGAGACCCCAGCTAACCGTCAGGGGACTGAGAGAGCCCTCTGTACTTATCAGAAATGAAGGCCTGGGGGCTAAGCTTTGTACCATTGCATCAGCCCACTGTTGACTCTTCATGGAGGAGTGTGTGGCCTTGGTAAGGCAGCCATGGGTCACTAGCCAGGGGTCAGTCCTTGTGAGAGGCACAGCTATGAGAAGTTGGTTGTCTTCAGGCCCAGGAATTGGGGATCAGCTTTAAGGAAGGACATGGATGGAAGACTGTATCCACTACAGGGTGAAGGAAGTTCAACGAGAAGTCTTAATTTCAGACAGAAGGAAGAAATACTTGGTTAAAAATGATAAATGGGGAACTCTCAGGTAGCTGAGTAATTAACTGTTGTTTCCTAAATCTCAGCTTCTTCTGCATCATCCAGAATATCTGTTCAAGCCAGTAAGAAGCAAATTAAATGACATCAGTCTCTCATCTTCAGCACAACTAGGAGACAGTACAGATTTTAGTTTCTGAAAATAGAGCAGTGACATCCATTTTATTAGAGCTGACTCATCAGCTCTCTACAAGCCATTGTGGACAGTTCTGAGAAAACCCACCTAGGAGAGACAGAGGGGATTATGTGAGAGTCATTCTTATCCAGTGTGAAAGTATGGAAAGAGAAGCCAGGTAGACAAGAGCACCAGCAAAGAGGAAGGGACTTGCTGTTTACAGGAAACTGGGCTGAGACCTGGGAAGCAATGTTTCCAAAGTGAACAAAGTTAAAAGCAAAGGAGTGGTGTCCTTTGGAGTCTTGTTGGTGAAGAGATACGAAGCAAGATTGAGGATCTTGAATACTAGATAAAGTGAAAATTGAAGGAAACAGAACCCCTCGTCCATAGCACTCCACTGAGAGCCAGGCACTAGAGAAACTGTCACGGCGAAAGGAGAGGGTGCCCTTGAGCTAGGATTTCAGGAACCAGCTCTTTCTGACCGGCTGGTTCATGAAGTGCTTACCTCAGTTTCATCTGTAAGAAGTGACTAAGATCAAAAAAGAACAGAGAATACAGATAGCAGTATATGGAAATCCCTCCCCCAAAAGCAGCCTTGAAGCAGAAGAAAATTATAACTGAAGCAGAAGAAAATTGTAAGGTGACACTCCAAAATGAATTAAATACTTTCAAACATACTAACTTTCAAGTAGTACAGGGGAGATGCAGGCATGCGAAGAGAGTGAGAGGAGGAACAGATGCAGACTACGTGGATCTAATAAATCTGGCCAGAGGATAGTATATAAGTTCTTTGTATTGTTTTTGTAATTCTTCCCATACACTGGAAAGAACTTCAAAGCAGAAGTTGTTAACTTATATAATTAGCTAAGTAGAAAAATGATTTATGTAAGTAAGATGACACTTCATACTTATAACTCTACTAGGAAGTGTGCTGTTATAGCTGAGTTCTAGTAAACTATAAATTTCTAACAGAAGTTCAGAGACTATAAATCCTTAGCAAGAGCAGCAAGAAAGAACACATTTCTGGAATTTCTCCCAATGTGAAGATAGGCTTGTCATGCCTCGGAAAATCTCTTGTGTTGGGGTGAAACGGTTGATACCAGGGAGCACATCCCAGATTGTGGACAATACCTGGGGAATAAGAGTTGTTCTTTGAAGACACAGCCCACGGGCCAGGGCAGCGCCTCCCTAGCATAATCCACATAGGTTCCTTCTATTCAGATATTTTGGATTATAAATCATTTATTTATTTATTTATACATACCTACATACAGAACTGGGGTACAAGCCAGAGGTGTAGGGATGATGAGGATTCACCACAGACAGAGTAGAGAGCAGAACAGACATACAGAAGTACATGGCTGAGGGAAGCAGCAGGCGGGCCAGGAGGGATCTGCTGTTCCATGTGGGTCACCTTCCGGGGGGAGGATCAAACTTGTGCTGAAGCAGCTGCAGCTAGCTTCTTAGTGCTGTACTTTAACCTGTTGTGCCACTAGGGAGGGCCCAAATTATAAATTTCTACTAGTGAAATGGTTTTTCAATTGGAAACCACTTGCAAAGTACAATAAAAAACAGGAAGTAGTTTTGTAAGCAATGACCTAGAATTGTTGCTAGATTGAGCAGCACCTTAAAGTAAATGATAACACTTTTCTCAAACTGTGTCTGGACAGTTTTATGTGCTAGGACCAGGTCTGTTTTCATCCTTCTGATCTACTCACTGCTGGTGAATTCTGTCCCAGGCCTGCTCTGTTGGACATTCAGAGAGACCTGCTCCCTGATGTTTGGCAGGTCATACCCTGGGGAGTTGGAAGTGGAGACATGTGGAAGGCACAGGGTATAGATTCCCAGAGCTCAGTTAGGTCCCCACCCCACTGGTGCCTGCCTTAAAAATAGGGTTACATGAGCAGCTTTCTTTTTTTGGGGGGTGGGGTGGAGTGGGGGCGCGTCCTGTAACTGTAGATGCCAGCAGTGGGTATGGCTGGCTTGCAAAGTGGCAGGTAACAAGCTTGCCCTTCTGGGTGTTTGCAGTGTCCCCACCTCCAAGTGGCCATGGGCTCCTTCATCCAGAGCTGTGAGGGTCAGAGCCCCATCCTCAGGCTCCCTGACTCCCCCTTCCAGGAGTTTGCTAGCCGAGAAGAAGCTGCTTTTCATCTTGTGTGCTCCAGAGGTGGCCCATTTAGGAATTTCTCTCAGCCCACAGGGACACACGGTATGCTGGTTTGCTCTCTGGTGAAACGGCAGATTGCAGTCTTCAGAACTCTCAATCTAATGCCTCTCATTGGCTGTGTACTCACTTAAGAAAAGAAATATTGTTTTCAAACAAATGTATTCACTCCCAGCAGGCAATGTTGTTGAGTCAATTTCCTCGCCTAATACCTATCATTTGCTCTCAGCCACTTAAAGCGCACAGGCACTGTTCAGGGTAATTGATCTTTTGGGTCGAAGGATTATGTCAAGTCGTGCTCCTTTTTGTCGTGTTTAGAAGTTACAAGCAAATGTATGCACCAGCTGATAACAGGATATGTCCAATATATAGTGAAAAGCTCACTGCAGTAAAAAAATGCATTTATGTTTTCTGTTTATGCTTGTTGAAGGGCATACAAACCAAGGGTTTATAGTAATGATAAAGAACACTTTTTCTAACAGGGAGGGTATGTTTCATTCTATTAGATAGCCATCTAAATAAATAATGGGGGACACACATGAATTCTACTTACATATTCTTCTACTGAGCAACGTGACACACGTACTCTGAGTAGTGAGAGGAAGGACCATCTTCATCCCAGCAAAATATAGAGCTGATTTGGTGTGGAAATGGTTTGAGTCTCTCAGTATCTTCTCTTAACCTGTTTGCTATTTGAGGGGAAGTGAAGTTTACATTTAAATATAGAACATTTAAAGTCTCAGTCATTGAGTAAAATTTAGGCTTAGTAAATTTTTTTTGAGTAAAATTTAGGCTTAGTAATTTTTGGGGTTTGGAATCAACCTCAAAATAGAAGACAGGATTAAAAAGATGTGAAACATACACACAATGGAATATTACTCAGCAATCAAAAAAGATAAACTCATGCCTTTTGCAACAACATGGATGGAGCTGGAAGGGATCATGGTTAGTGAAAAAAGCCAGAAAGAAAAAGAAAAATACGAGATGGTTTCACTCATAGCAGGAACATAAGTAATCAGGAAAAAAAAAAGAGACAGAGAGAAATGTAATAAAGTAAAAATGGAAACAATGAACAACTATAAATCAGAGACATTTTATGGGGGTGAAAGTGGAATGGGATCAGAACTGGGTGGGAAAAATGCACAGGACTACAGTGATGGCATGTGGGTAAATTGGTGGTAGAAAGCCCATGGGGATTACAACTGAGATGAAAAAGTGCACAAAATGAGGAATGATGTAAAAAAAAAATAATCCCTTCTGTGGAAAAAACAAAAAATTTAGTTTTTCTTAGTGTGAGGGTGTCCATGCCACCATTATCATTTCTTGTCTCTCCCATTGCTAACTCCCTGAAACTCACTGCAGCATAATAAATCAGTATGTCAGAAAACTGCTTAAGACCAACCCTTCTCTGCCAGTTTGCTTTTCCAGTTTGCTTTTCGTACCCTGAAATGCGGACTTGTCCTTGGTCCATAACCAGGTCACGTCTTTTGTAGCCACTACATTGTCATGTTGAAAATGAGAATTTTTTTTTTTTGTAAATTATTTTGTTTACTTTTAGGATGACTGTTCTTCAGGGTTTCAG